GGAAAGACAAAGCCAACTCAGAGAAAATTATACTCAGGCAACATATATCACTGTGGACCTTAATTATTTCCATTCTGTCCCCTGAGATTGCCCTAAATACTAATCCCAAAGCCAGGTGAAAAATAAGAAAAAGAAACTTGTAGATAAAATACGAATTTTGCAGACAACTTAAATGCACAATTGTTTGATATTTGGTCCTTAGAAACAAGTCCACATGGGCCAGCAGGTGTCATAGTGGTTAAAGCACTGAACTCCCACATGGCTGACTGTGGTTTAAGTCCTGGACCTGGCACTTTGAAACCCATGCCAGGCACATATGTGTGCATGCCCATGATCCCACAAGGAGAATGGAGAAGGGATTGCAGTGTGGCTATCCCCGCAGGGGAGGATTTCTCATTTTCTATCTCTCTCTGTCTCTCCAGTGAGCACATATGCCATATCGAAAAATCTCTCAAAAAAAATAAAAATAAAGGAGGGGAGAGACAAGTTTACAATGATGAACAGAAAAGCAGACACATTCTTTTATACAACTGACTTGCAGTCGGTCCCAAATTATAGAATCATGACCGTTAAATAAACTTTAGAAAATCAGTCATTTGTTATTAGCTGATAAGCTCCACAAGGGCAAGAACTTCGATTTACTTGCTCCATATGTTCAGTGCCTAGCAAAGTGCCAGGTAGATAGGAGGGACTTGTGATAAATTAAATTAATTCATACAGTCCACAAGTGGCTGATGTTGCTAAACACCATGATCATTTCTTGGTTCTCATCTACTTGACCTCTTCATTGGTATGAATACTTCTTCACTTGGCTTCCAGGACATCACTTTTCTGGTTGTTTTCCTACCCACCTCCCTGGCTACTTTCCCTTGGTTTCATTGGCTAGTTCTTCCCTTTGTCTTGATTTTTTTTTTAAGAGAAATTTATGCTATAGGACGCTTGAGCTTGGTGGACAGTCAAGAGAGAGACAGAGAGATGGAAAGTGAAAAACCACCCTCCGGGGGGGATGGCCACGCCGAAATCCCTTCTCCTCCATTCTCCTTTTGGGATCTTGGGCATGCATGCACATGTGCCCAGCATGAATTTTAAGCCACTGGGTCTGGGACTCAAGCTGCAGATGACTATACAGGAGTCCAGTGATGTAACTGTTATGCCATCTGCTGGTCCCCCTTTGCCCTAATGTTAACATTGCATGTTCTTGGCCATGTTTGTCTATCTACACTCATTCTTTTGGTGATCTTGTCTAGTCCCACAGCCTGTAATACCTTCTGTGTACTGATGAATCCTACATTCTTATTTGCAGTCCAGACCTTTTCTTTGAAATCCTGATGTATATCAATTGCTGTTCAACGCCTCCTTTGGATGTTTAATATATATTTTATTGGCTAACACATTGAAAAATGAAACCCCTTTTTCCTCCCTAACACCTGATTGGCTAACACATTGAAAAATGAAACCCCTTATTCCTCCCTAATTCCTATTCAAATCTACTCTACCCACAGTCCTTCACGATGATGGCAACTCCATCTCTTGAAGATTCTTGACTTTTTCTTCATGTACACCGCACGACCAGTTTGCCAGCAAGTCCTGCTGGCCCTACCTTCAACATAGATCCAGGATCCCACTACTTCTCACCCTCCACTGCCACCATCACCTCTCTCTGATGACTTACAAAGTCATAGCAGGCCTCCTTGCCTTTATTCCTGCCGTTACAGTTTACCCTCCTTTCAGCAGTCGGACCATGGCACCCATCTGCTCAAATTCCTTTAATGACACCCATCTCAAAGTAAAAGCCACATTTCTTATGTTTGTTTCCATTTCCTGGCCCCATGGCCTCTCTCTCATCACCTGTAACTTCTCCCATCCCTTCACGCCATTTTGCCAACACTTGCCTGCTTGTTTTCCTTCCAATTCTCTAGGCAAGCTCCACAGCAAGGCTTTGCTGGGGCTATTTCTCAGCCTGGACTGTTCTTCCAGATGTCTATACAGCTCAATCCTTCATCCTCTTTGCTTAAATGTTACCTTCTCAATGCAAGTGAGTCCAGTCTCTCTATTCAAAGTTGTGACCTACCCCCACACATGGCACTTTTCTTTCCCCTTAAGGCTTTAGTTTTTCTGCATAGTTCAAGAGATTTTCAAAAGGTTCATGGAAGATACACACTAAGAAAAAAATTTATGCTTGGGTTTCAAAAATTTCTTGTACCAAAATGAACTTATAATTAAATTTTTTTAAAAAAAATTTTGCTAGAGGACATGCGCTCACAAGAGAAAGAGAGGGTAAGTGAGGAAGCATCCCCTCGCCTTCCTGTGAGGGGTACCCACACCATAATTCATTCTGTTACATTTTCGCTTTTCATGCTCAGTGTATTTTCCAAGCCACTGGGTCTAGGATTTGAACTATGCAGTCGGCCATGTGGAATCCAGCTACCTTAACCACCATGCCACTAGCTTGCCCAAACTTGTACTTTAATTCTATTTTCTCATGAAATTTTTGAAGTTATCTCAAATATACTACCTTCTAACATACCAAATAGAGTTAATGTATTTATTGTCCATTTCTCTCAATTAGAATATCACTAATGAGATAAGAGGTCTGGGTTTTTGTTTTTTGTTTTTTTGTTTTTTTTTTTTTTGGTTTTGTCTTTTTGTCTGAATTATTCAGTTTTAACTCTAGCACTTAGAACAGTTAACTAATACATAATAGGTCCTAGTTAACTCAGCGAATGGAGCAGAAGGCTGTCAAAAACACCTATTTTCTTCTCTCCTATGCTCTCTCTGTCTTAAAAAAAGGAAAGAAAAGAAAAAAAATTATTGACTAAGTGAAAAAAAGTAAAGGAGCCCTGAATATTGGCTCTCCTGTTAAAATTAAAACTCATAATCAGGTTTTTCATTATTTCATAGTTTTGTTCATTTTATTTCCTTGTGCTGGAATGTCTTCTCTCCTTTGTGTCTCTACCCTCCTCCGCCACTGTTTAAAGCTTACTTCAAATGACCTCCTTTGTAGGGCCTAATCTGATCACATGTACTCCTGAAGTCATTCATCAAACACTTCCTGAGTGCTCACTCTGTCAGGCATGTGCCTGGTACGGGAGATACAAAGATGAGTAGGGCACTGCCTCAGTGCTCAAGAATCTGATAGACTGCGGGAGCTGGGACTGGAGAGCAAACAGTCTCCACAAGCTGTGGAGCCTTATAAGAAGGACTGGAGAAGACATTTCCTATTTCTGCTTCTAAATTTTAAGGTTGTAAGGAGCAGATAACAGGTCTGGGACACCTCTGCATACTCCCATGAGGGGTACTCACTAAACATTTGCTGAGTGAAGAAGTATAATGAAGCTTATAAAGAAACCATACTTTTATAAATAAATTAAAATAAAAAACAAACAGAACCTGGTAAGTATGTTTTGGCCATTATCAAAGTGGTGTCCTCATTTAATGAACGAGGTGTGAATTGTTCTTTAAATAATCATCCTCCTCCTGATGCACCGCCCCCAAATCAAAATGTCAAACCTTTCCAATTAGCACTAAAAATAACATTCTTACCGTTATTTTTAGGTAATTCTTTCTAAGAAATTGTGATGCTAGTTACTTCTACTAACATCTGGGTAATAATCAAGAAGATAAAAGAATCCACACATGTGGCTAAATCTTATCCATGGAAATACTGATGGACTTAGAAACAGTGTGACGGCCAAGCACAGAGTCTGCTTTGAACCACAGAGGAGCCGAAATCTATTTCATGTAAACTTGGCCTTGGAGGTAACAGCAGCTTCGCCTTGATTTTTCAGTCTACTTTTGATTTCATTCATTCTTTCAACTGAAAACATGCTGTCTCCTAAAGAATTTATTCTAATGTAAAACATTAAGTTAACATGATGCAGAATGAACAAAGGAGCGGTCTTCAATAATTAAACAGCTTACATATTTAATGACATGTCTTGCTTGCATTAGAAGTCCTGGCGAACAGCTGCAGACTACTTTGAAGGCAACTTAAAAGTGCAGTGATGACAGGAGATTGCAAATCACCGTATTAGGAATTAGAGAGTTTTGTCTCATTAATATGCAAACAGATTTTTAAAGTGTCGAATAATATAAGTTGTTGACAAAAAAATGGAAATTAACATTTTCTTAGTCCACATAAGCATGGGACATTCAAGATAGCATAGAATGTTTCAGAGAAATTCACCCACAAACAGGTTATCTTGAGAAAAAGGGAGATCCTATTTTCACTGTTAAGGTCCGCAGTGTATGGGGAACATGTATGTGCTTATTTCTGGGTTGAACCCAAGGTGTATTGACCAATCTTATAGGACACACGTGAGGTGGCATGTGTCATAACAGGCCCTTTGACAGTTTCAAAATACATACGTACATCGATATAATTTCCATTGATGTAGTCTGAGTTGGTGTCTCCTTCTAGTGTCTGCAGCCTCACCCGAGAATGATCATCTGCAACAGAAAAAGAAAGGAAGACAATTAGCATGAACAGTCTGTAGGCAGCTCTGGGCCCCAGAATGCGAGCAAACTGCATAGAGATTCATCCACATACACACTGCTTTAATGATAAACAAACAACTAAATGTCACACACTTTCTAAACTTCCTGTTTGGTTATAAAGACTAGTGAGGATTTAGAATACTTTACATTTTACAGTAAATCTCATTAATTTATTCTTTTATCATTGACAGATGGAAATCACTGGCAAAGGTCTGGTACTTTTCCATATGGTCCTATGAACGGCAACACAATTACTTCTTGGATTAAAAGTTTGAGCAACTTCCCTAAACCATACACAAATCCTAAGACATTGAAGGTTGCCTACAACAACCACCCTGACAGATGATGGTTATAAACTCACAGCCTAGCCTTCTGTGATGTGTAGACATGGTCTAATTACAGCCATCATCCCTAAATTCTCTAAGCCCTCCCTTTATTTATTTTGTTTTGTTTTGTTTTTTGTTTTTTGAGAGGTTTTTGCTGTAGGGCACGTGCGCTTGCCAGAAAGACAGAAAGAGACAGAAAGTGAGAAATCAACCCCTGGGAGGGAGGGCCACGCTGCAATCCCTTCTCCTCCATTCTCCTCTCAGGATCTTGGGCAAGCATGCACACGGGCCCGGTGTGAGTTTAAACCACCAGATCCGGGACTCGAACCCTGGTTGACTACATGGGAGTCCAGTTACGTAGCCATTACGCTAACTGCTGGTCCCAGCCCTCCCTTTGTACCTGAGGGACCCAGCAGGTGAGAGCAATGTCAATGCCCATCAGAATATGACTACAGGCCAGTCAATAATGCCACCATGCCTCAGCCTCCTCCTCTGGAGAAGGGGATGGCAGTACCTGCTTCACACTGGGTTGTTTTGAGAATTGCATAAAAACATCAGTTGTCAAGCATGACGTCTACCATAGCAAGTACTGCAAAGGGGTCATGATCATGGTGTCAACTATTTATACTGAAGTTATTTCCTAAACGAAAAATTTTCTGCACAAATACAGTTGAGGCTTCTCAATGATCTTCTTGAATATTCCTAGAAGGGGAAATAGAAAAAGCTCCATAAGGGCAAGGATTTTCCTAATTTTCTTCTATAAAGTTTATTTCTCAGCGAGTGTGAGAGAGAAAGAAACACAGAGAGGCGCCTCCAACAGGGTCTTTTTTTTTTTATTTTATATTACCTAACATTTTTTCCCTGAGCATCATCACAACATACTAAATGTGGTTTCCCATCTAGGATAAACTGCATAGTGGCTTAATCGAGCATGTTATCATCAATAATATTCCATTTCTACTTTCATACATATGTATACATATATATATGTTTTTTATCCTATGTTTGACCCTCTGCCCTTTCCCCCTCTCCCATTACACTATCTCTGCTATATACAGTTGTCTTCCAGAGGAGTTATTGAAAATGTGCTACGTGCAAGTAAAGGGAGAGGGGCCACGAGTTTAAAGTTTTCAACAATAGGGAACATAGATTCCATTCAAGGTTGGATCAAGGGTGGGTCTCGTGCAGTTCCGCAATTGTAGGTGAGTCTCCATGGAATACAGTTTCAGGAAAGCGGTTCTGGTAAGCAGAGATGATTATCAGTTGATGCGGCACAGCAGCCATCTTGTGATTAGCGGGAATGGTGTTGTGGGGATCTGCAGCGTGAGTTATCCTCGGGTATCTGGCTTCCTTAAGAATGGTAGAGTAGTTCTTGTTTTTCCCTGAGGTAATGCAGGGCTGGTAACCATCATCTTCTCACTGTCCATAGGTAGAGAAAATCCTCCTATACAATATATTTCTCAATTGGTTTAAGAGAGCTAAAGTTTTTTTTCTGTTGCTTACAGTTGCAAGTTCTTCATCCTTTTCGGCCTCAGCTTGCCGCCTG